AATCTTGATCTCAAAGAACCACTGGATAAGGAAAAATGAAAATGTGAAGTCTTCATTACGTATTCTAAATTCAAGATTGTCCATATCATAATCACCAGGGGTAGGGCAGGGCCACAAGAAGGGGTCAAAGTTTTACGTATGAATGTAGAGTAACTGTCTTTAAAAGTCTTCTTCTCGAGAACAGCAAAACCATGATTAGTCATAAAAGTATCCTCAGGTAGTGTAGATTCAATTTTATTCCAATCATTACCCCTGTGGGTAGGGCAGGGCCACAACAGGGGGTAAAAGTTTACTATAGGAATATATAGGAAATACATGTACATGAATCTTAAAAAATCTTCTCAAGAACAACTAAGCCATTATTAGACATATTGATAGAGAAGTATCCTCAGGTAGTGTAGATTCAAATTTCTTCAAAAAATGACCCATTGGGGTGGGGCGCAGACACAACAGGGGCCCAAAGTTTTACATAGGAATATATAGGAAATATCTTAAATTTTTTTCTTCTTTAGAACAGCAATGCCATTATTAGTCATATTAATACAGAAGTCTCCTTACATAGTGTAGATTTAATGACATCCAAGGGTAGTTCAGGGCCACAAAAGGGGGTCAAATTTTTACTTAAGAATATATAGGGAAAAAGTATTTAGGCCAAATAAAAAAATATGTGTGGTTCCGGTTACCCGACCGTCCCTATTTTATACCCCCGACCCTAAACTTTTTTCCGGCAATTTTCATATTTTTTCCAGAATTTTCCCCGATTTCCATCATGGGCTCCAGTATTAGTTTTAGTTTCAGCAATGATGGCCTCCTTGCAAAACATTTCAACAAGCAAGTTTTTAAAAGTGTTAAATCCAAAGCAATCTAGCATGTAGGTGTCCCCTACCAATGTTGACCAGTATATTATAATGCCACATCTAAATGCCACTTGCAAAGCAGTGATAGATATTATTTAGAAAAATTAAGAAAATCATTTTGTAAAAAAAAAAAAAAAAAAATAAAAATCCCTACCTACCTACCCTAATTTTTTTGGAGATGTAACTGGAACCACACATATTTTTTTGTTTGGCCTTAAAATTCTTCCCCTCAGAAACAACAAAACCATGATTACTAATATTGAAATGGAAGCATCCTGAGGTAGCGTAAATTTAAGTTTGTCGCCCATAAACTTTTCGATATTGATATGATTTCTGCTTTTTCCAAGCAAATGTGCTCAAGTAAGCAATGTGGGCCTTTTGGTTCCTTTTACTACAAAATAACACACTTCTCTCTCCTAAAAAATGATTCAGAAGAAATTAATATGAAATCAAAATTGAATGTACATAAATAGATAACTGGTATCGCTTTTCATATAATTATCAAACCAACAAATAATCAAACATATATTTCCGTAATTAAATTTCCTTTACATATGCACTGTGAGGGAGTAATGCAGTGAACAGTGCATATGGATCTTATGTAGGTCTGTGGGGGAAATACTGAAAAAAAAAAAAGACTGGAGTCATCATTCCAATTTTTTTCAGGCCAGCGAGCTGCAGATATGCAGCAAGGAACTTATATCGCCTCGCTATTAAGGAGCTATCTTTTTCAGTTGCTAGCGCTCTCAAGCAAGCGCTAGCAATTAGTCTTTTTTATTAGTATACGCATCCTCGGCATCACGGTACTGCATTCTGGTAATACTACTGTACCATGTAAATTCCGTTATATCAGCAGAAAATACACATGATCTGAAGTTCCTGTCTTATTGTCTTACCTGTTATAACCTGTACAAAAATGTATATAAAGTAACAGTTACTTAGATATTATTAGATATTACTTCTATATTACTTATCTTCACCCTTTTCATTCAATTCTTGGATATTATAATGCCAAGACCGAAGAGATCAGTCATTTCTAAAATTATAGTAAATACCTAGCTTTTACTACCTCACTTGATCATTCTGGCAAGTTCAGAAATATAACTTAGGATATTTTTTTTCGAGCTTGCCGGAAAGACCTAAGAAGATGCAATTGCACAAAACGGTACCGCACTGGAATATTTTAAACTAGGTGCCCTTTGGTTCTATTGATGTCTTATTTTTCACCCCAGATTGAAATTACAGTAAACTACAGAATGCTTAAAGCAGAGTTAATTAGTTGTGTCATTGTGAAGCCCACTCTAGAATTCACCATTCTGAATTGAGCCCCCCCCCCCCCCCCAATTCATTACACCAGTTCACCACCGTGCCTTCTTACTGATGATCAATCGATTTAGCAAATTAAAGTTCCAATGATTCTGACATCTACTTCTGTGTTTCATGATGGCTACAACGCTAGCTCACCTATCATTTTAAAGACTGGTTTGTAAATACTAGAAAATAGTGATAAGTAAATGTCTTCTTCCATTTCAAGGTACAGCAAGCATGCATAAGTACTGGATGAGTGACCTTTTCACTATATAGAATCATGCAAAAAAATCTGTGATTATCCTTATATTCACATGTAGTTTGACTTAATTACTCAAGATATAGTGAGACAAGAAAGAAAATCCCAGCTTCACCGTAATGTAACTTCAAATACTTATGAGTAGTGAAGAAAAATAGTACTTTTAGCAACTTCCCCGACGCCGTGATCAATCATCGATTAATGCATTGTACTTTGACACTTACAGTCATGCTTGCAATTACACAAGCATAGGATGAGAACAGTTTCAGGAAGTCAAAGACGTCTTAAGTTCATTTTTGGATGAGACTTAAAATAACTTGACTTTAGTCATGGTACATAGCTCATTATTATGAGTTTAAAAATACTGGATGGTCTAACATACAATAAAGATACTTCCAGCATCTCTTAAGATACGTTTTAGTCCTAATATAATATCCATAGCTGGAAGGCCCGGGTTCGATTCTCGTTTGCTGCATTGCTACAAACCTAAAACGTAAACATAGGTAGTGACTGTCTCTTCGCCAAGCACCTGTCACTAGAAGTGAAAGTCACAGGTCCTTTGGATCTGACCTTAAATGTTATGGTGGCGTTGGCAGATAAAGAACCCTTAATGATCAGTGGGTCTGAGTGCTGAGTAAAGGTGTAAATTTGAAGCTCTGTATCAACGTGGATGTAAATTATTACTTTAGTGTCTAAAACAACAATAAATAATCAATTGATTTCCAGATATTTTCAAAACCAATAGACATTTTCACAAAGAAAAAAAAATCTTGCCATAAGTTTCAACCGTAAGAGAAATTTTTTCACAAAAATTCTTAGAGATTCTTAGGTGTAAAATTTAACATAGCTTTATGAGAGCCCTTATCTTTCATATGGAATGGTAGCTAAGCTACATTAATTTAAGGTACTATATCCAAGGTAATCATAAAAAATATACTATCTGAAGAAACAGGTATGCTAAAGCTACTTGTATAACCAGTTAGTTTTGCCAATTTGAATAATAAGCAAAAACTGGGGCCAAGTATTTCGCAAACAAAAAGTTTGTCTTCTGGCCAGTGTGGAACTTGTTACCATGGCAACCCAAGAGTTATTTATTCTATGGAATCTTTACATCAACAAAGATATTTTGATACATACTACTTGTATCTATTTGTGTTTATTTTTCATTCAGAAGGCCTTTTTCGGAAAATCTCATTTCATCTTCCAAAAAAAAAAAAACCTGTATGTAAAAGGGTAAAGTGGTTACAAAATTGGTTGCTACCTATAGATATTCAAAATTGTTGCCATGGGTTAATTAAGTAAAATTTACTTTTATCAGATCCATATTAAATTGACAATAGCTAAATTGCAATTTTAAGAATAATTATCTATTCGTTTCCATTATAACTCCATACAAAAATGCCCAAAATAATCCTTTTTGCATTGTTGCTATGCAAAACTTGCTGTTGCCATGGAGATAAATAATTATGAATTATTGATCTATTTTTAAAATAAATGAGAATTATTTTCTATTACTTGAAAAATTGTATCTGCAGCAAAAACATAACAATTTATAAGATTTTTGACTCAACTCTTTACCATTTTTCACTTTTTCATTATCAAAACATCCAACTTTGTTGCTAGGCAACAGATAGGATTTTTCAAAAAACCCGCAAATAATCCTTTTTGCATTGTTGCTATGGAAAATTTTCTGTTGCCATGGAGATAAATAAATATAAATTATTGATTCATTTTTTAAATAAATGAGAGTTATTTTCTATTTCTTTAAAAATTGTATCTACAACTAAAAGATAACAATTTATAAGATTTTTGACTCAACTCTTTACCATTTTTCACTTTTTCATTATCAAAACATCCAACTTTGTTGCTAAGCAACGGATAGGATTTTTCAAAAAACCCGCATTTTCAAAGTTAGAGTCTTAAAGAGGGAGTCCTCCCTTTTTATGTGAAATAAACACAACAGCTGTATTAGCTTGGTATTAATTTTAAATTGACTTTCAATATTGCCAAAATCGAGGAAAATGCTGAGTCAGCAAAAATGCAAAAACATGTATATCTTCTAATGTCTACCACAGTACTACCTTTGAATAAAATATCAATGTCTTGTGTTGTTTAAACACCTAATGTGTGTGTCTTTATCATACCAGTAAATAAGAATAATTGTTAAAGTTTTTATATATAATTTCAGGCTTTAAAGATAAGTGATTTTTTGTCCCTTCACATGGAAAAATTGGCTGGTTGCTAAGGAAATTACTTTGACCAGGTTTCCATAGTAACCATGATCCAAAACATTTTTCATTTTACATTCATGGATCATAGTGCAAGAGAAATCTATGTGTGGAAAATCATTGAATTCTGAGAACCCCCATGAATCACCTTTTGTCTGATTTTTATGCGGATTGGTACTTAATTGTAAGTTACCTTTATTATATTAATGAATGACATTAAAAACTATGTACATCATTCTGGTTTTATTTTTTTTTTAGGGGTCATGCACCCCCCCCCCTTTCCAATCTGCATCCACACCTGTTATATTCACTATGTCATCAAGTTTCGGTGAGAAAAACAATACTAAATTAGAAAATAAAAATAGAAAATTTATTTCATTTGGGTCTATATTCTGTTGGATTTATTCAAAATCATCAAAATTAAAATGTAAATACTATTACATATACATAGTTTTCACACATACAAAAAAATCTCACATAAAGTATTCATTAATGAACAATAAACCATAGAAAACAGCAATATTGAATCATATTGCCTAGAGGCCATTTTCAAATGCTTCATTGTTAGAACTCTTCTCTAAAAGAAAGCAGGAAAAGTAAGCCAAGAGGAAAAGGGAAATAACTCTAAATATCATAGTAAACATAATTACCAAAATAATCTGTTATTATTTGGCACAGGAAATATTTACAAAACTTTTATAGTAGTAAAGAGGACACTCCAGTGAAATGAGAAGTCCATATCTTTGGAAGTAAAATTAATCTCATTTACTGTCCATGCATGCACAACATATTGAATGGGTGGAGTAACCTTATAATTACCATTCATCTGATTCTCCAGATGATTGTTTGTTTGATTTTTTTGTTATCAATACAAAAGGTGCTCAACGTAGAAATAAAATCTATTTTTCACATGCTGCTACCCTGAATTTTGGAAGATATTACATATCACTCAAATCTTTATCCAGGGACATGCAATCACACTACAAGCTTCAACATATTTTAATTTAATTTGAATTGATATTTCTCAGTTTGTTTTTATTGGATTAAATTATCAAAGATAAAATTATTTCAATATTAACATTGAAATAATTAAAAATAAATATGCTCATGTAATTCAAGCATATTTGCCTTTTGAAGTTTATTCATTTTCCATTAAATATGCTATGTAGCATTCATTATTTGCTCATTTGCCACATTGTTTCAGGTACTTTAAAAAGCATTCTTTTTCTTAAAAGTTCCATCAAGAGAAATAGTTCAAAAATGACCTTTTTGTTGATATCAAAAAGATCTTTGGCACTGATTTATAGTGGAATTAAAAAGTTCAAGTAAGAAAACATATGAATAAAATAACATGATTAATATTTATCACAAATTTTCCTTCATCCACTTAAAGGCATATTCATTAACCAGCAACATGATTGCACCTCCTGTAAAAACAAAAAAAAGAGATAATAGCATGACTATCATCAATTATAATATATGTGTTATTAACATTTATGTAACATTCTGGAAGTATATAAAAGTGATTCAACCAAGTGCTCATTTGTCTGTTACATTTCTAGCTCACGTGAGCCTAAGGCTCAAGCGAGCTCCTCTGATTGAAATGTATTTTTTGTCAGTCATAGTCATCGTAAACTTTTCACATTTTCATCATCTTCTCCAAATCCTGGACCAATTTCAATCAAACTTTGTACAATGATCATTAAGTGAAGGGTATTCAAATTTTGCAAATGAAAAGTCATGTCCCTTCCAAGGGGAGACAACTGAGAATTCATAAATATTTTTTGAAAGGACCTACATGGGTTCTGTAGGGGACATAATAAATTTCTAAAAACTTAAATATACGTAACTTTACTTTGTTTCTTGAGAGGAATATTGAATGTGATGACAGAGCCAGATTTATATTATGGTTAATACATGGTTAGAAATTAAAAAAAAAAAAAACATAAAGAAGAATTCATAATTTGATCTCATTTATAGAACTTTATCTTACCTGGCCCTAATCGCAGAATTTTTGGTAAAAGACCCTTATACAAAGCTAGATAGCTGAAAAAAGAAAATGTGTCTATTAAACACAGTGTCATAACACTCACAATGTCTAAATTGTCTAAAAATGTCTAACAAAGTAAATTTCAATGTATGATCCTTAACCTAATATGAATTTTCAACCCTGACCTTTAATTTGAATATTAGAGGCCAGATTGCTTTTGGTCTGTTTCCTCCATTCACAGCATTAACCTTCTGCATACAAGTAAATTTTGAATTGCTTTCTTTGAGAATCATCGACTCATAACAATGATTTCTTACCCCTCTTCCCTATAAACTGTAGCTATAGTTGCAAAACAAGTCCTATACTTGATCTCTCCTGGCACAGGTTGTGGCCCCTGAATCCGGCTTTTGGCAACATCGAATGGAATGTTAATACATGAAGCTATTGTCCCTGACACAAAGCCTATCAATAGTTTTCTTCCTATTTCCAGACTGTGAGTCTAAAATATGGAGAATACAGCTTATTTTGATAAATGAATTAGATTTTCTGCTAGACAAATGGATAGAAAGTGGTTACTTTACTATGGTATAAGTTCCTCTGGGTCTAACACCAGTAGAACTAAGAAGAAAAATGTTCAACATTTTAATGCATGGATAAATTTGAATTACAAATTTGAAGGTAATTGATCATTTGTCAAACAGGCAATCAACTAGGGGTGTAACAATATACCAGTAAATCGCAATAAACAAAAAAATTGTACTGTACCACGGTACAAAAACCATACACCTGTGTATCATGATATATAACATTTCAACCAAGTTATGTAATTCCTTTTTTAATTTAACCTAATTAAAGTGATTTTTCTTTACTTACTTATGTTGCTTTTTTAATTGTGTTCAGAGCTTATTAAATATTATATAATGTATTTGTGAACTTGATGAAATAATTCACAACTTTCCATTCACTTTGGTTTTCCCTTTAATTGTGTAGTTAAAGTGAAGTCTGTATCCCATAATATACCCGAGTTTAATTAATGAAATATAAAAATATGTTCATGAGAAAACAAATAATTTTGACCTTGACCTTGCCTGCTTGACAGAATGACCTGCATCCTTAATAATGCAGAGTCATAACATTTACTTTATAGGTTTTCTTAATATATTCCATGTAATTTGATCATATATAATGACATAGTGAAAAAAATCACCATGAATAGCCATACATTGGTGAGTTTAGAGACTTTTCCCCTGAATGCTAGATTAAAGTAACTACTGATTAAAGGAATATGCAAAATCTTTAATGACTGTAAAGTATATTTTTAAATACAACAAATTAATAATCTTTTCACTAAAAAAATATAAGATCATGCTCAATACATCCAAGTAAGATAGGTGATGAAATTCAATTTAGTATGTTAATATTTCTACCTCTGCCTGGGGTATTAAATCTCGAACATTGTGATAAAAGCCAAAGTAGATCATGTTGAACACACCATGTCGACCCAGGGTGGCTGGTAGGCCTTTGTTTAACCCCCGACGTCCAAATCCATCATTCTTTATTATCTCCCTTGCAGTAGCAATTGTGCTTCCTGTCTAAATTAAAACAAAATGCCCCAAACATCAAACTTTTGCAAATTATAATTATGTGAATTATGTAATGCTTTCTTCTTTTAATGTACCTTATTTCTCATATTTTTTTCTGTCAATTAAGCTAAAAAAAAAAACAGAAATATCAAGTTACATTTGTACATGAGAAGTTGTCCTGCCAAATTCAATTTTTTTTTTTTGGGGGGGGGGGGGGGGGGTGAGGGGGTTATGAGCTGTGCTTTGCTTTGAATGTTTTGAATGTATAAATGTGCAGTACTTTATGGATATGCATCAGACACTTTAAACAACTAGTGTCTAACCAGACTGGAAAACAAGAAATCAATCATTGCATTTGGGATTTGAGGGGGGGGGGGGGGGGGGTCATGAATTAAATAAGCATGTGGGATCCCAAGATCAAGTTTTCTCTTTTTATTTTTCAATTTGAACTTTATTTCTATTAATGCTACATGTGCTAAGCCTCCATTGAAAATTTGAAATAAGTATTACAAAGATTATTAAATAACCATGTATACAGGCTAATGTGGGATGACTGTATGCTGTGTTGATGATTCCTAAAAGTTCCATCATGAATGTTCTAGGAATCTTCAATTCAGCATGTGTATGTGTTTGCTTTACTCACAAGTGTATGTATTTATAATGTTTCTATGCCTAACATTATGGTGGGTACATAAAGATGCACAGTGATATCATGTAGTTGATAAATGGTTCTTCTGAGTATCTCTAAAATAATTGCAAACATTTCCTTTTAGAGAGGGGCTACATGAGGGGTACAGAAATCTTAAATTTTCTTACCTCCTTAAAAGCATGTCTATCAGTTTGTAATTTAACCTTCACAACTTCAAATGGATTTATAATGACTCCCTCAGTAAGTCCAGAAAACAATCCTGCCATAAAGAGAACCTACACAGGGAAGAAAGAACACTAAGCATAAACTGGAATTTAAAAAGATGCTTTGAGTGGTTTATTTATCAACAAATATATCTTTTTGCTCCTTTGTGCAGTATAAGGGACGCATGTGAGTTAAGGCTAGGTATAGGGGTTTCTATGCAAACGAGCTAATAAAAACGCATAAGAGGTATATTTATTATTCCGAGAAAGTTTTGATTTATTTTCGTATGCTTACTTAGTACCCACGATGTTAAAGTCAGTACACATTATGACGTCATTGTTCTTATCTACTGGAGGCAATAAAACACATCAGCAAAACAGCTGCGGCGCAAGGGATTACCCTATTTAATTTTACATAAATATTGTATAATGCTAAGAAGAATATTCTATAGATTGATAAAACTGCTGCACAAATCCTAGGCATTTTCTCGTTTGATCGGAATTTGAGGAGACTTATACTGGACTAATACTATGTATTTTTACCCTGATTCTACTTAAAACTTTACAAATAGAAATTATACAACTGAGCTGTTGATATTTGTGCAGCAATACCAGAAATCTTTGGAATATTTTGCTTCTAAATATACCTTGTTTCAGTTAAATAAAATAGAGCATGCCCTTGCGCCAAAGCATTTTTGTTGATGTCCATTATAATCTTGTGTAGTAAAAAACAAAGACGTCATAATATGAGGTCATAATGTGTACTGGCTATCTCATGTCATGGGTATCAAGTATGTATTAGACAATAAGTTTTAACTTTCTCTGTATAATAGATATAGTCCTTAGGCATTTTAATTAAATTATTTGCATAGAAATGCCTATACCTAGCCCTAACTCACCTGTGGATGCTTGCAAGGGGAAAATACTCTAACTTGCATACAAATACTTATATATGACATCAAACTTCAATAATGTCTGGTGAAAATACCTTTGACATACTGCTTGTATAATAAAATTATTACAAAATTACTCACAGATGAATCAGGTAAAGCCTTAATAGAAGAAAACATGTCTTTATATCTTTCAAATGTAAAGAATTTCACAGCCCGCTTAGGAGTTTCTGCCATCAGTGGAGGTAAAATTCCTTTATAAAATGACAATGCCCTGCAAATGAAAATTAAATATGTGTAAATAAAATCATCTACTTTTCACCGTTCAACCTCCTTGATATTTAAGAAATCCATTATCGAAAGCAATCACAAACATCTGAAAAACTTCTTATGAAAAGAAGTCTCTTGTTATGGCCTTCATTCAACATTTAGATATTAATCAATGACATTTTATACAATATTTTCATTCCTACATTGATTCTAAACTTTAACATCCCGAATTTAACCACAGCTTGAGTCTGTTTCATATTTGGATGTTTTACTAGAAAAAGTCGTTGATTACAAACTAACAACTTAACTTTACAGTAAATGTGATGACTTCAACTTTTCAATCGTCAACTTCCCTCACTTATCATATGAACAATATACCATTAATATTATCACCTGCACATGGGGTTTATGTCTCCAAGTTGATTTGATAAGCAAGAACATGTTCTGCTTATGAACACTTTTTAAAATGCAGATTACTGACAAATAAGTTGATGATACAAGGCTATCAATAATCTTGTTCAAAGTCAACATCTTGCAAATTCTATGGTCAATACAATGACCTTGTTTGCAAATAAATAGGTAAAATGTTGACTGACATCTTTCAAACAAATTGTTAGGACATTTTTTTCACACTGAATTGTCTATGGGTTCTTCTGGTTGCCCAATCCTGAAAAGGGACACACTGTGGGTGTGAAGGGTCAACAGGGGATGCTCACTCCTACATGGCATCTGACCCCACCCCTTAGGGGTGAAACGGTTCACCACGGTAATTTTTCTTGGTTTGAAACATGGTACAAAATCTTCATTTTCGGTTTGGTTCATTTTTCGGTCTGGATCGTAATTTATTCAGTTTTGGCATAGTTAAAAACATGCTACTCAGCATAATTAAATTTTAAAAACATAAATTTTTGAGGATTGACAGTCTGTAAAATAATCTTTAATAGTAAATTCATTCTAATCAATTTCTCCTAGTCATTTTGCAGGTAGAATAAGTGACTGGATTTAGTGAAACAAAAACATAAAACAACGTTGAATTTGTTTCCTTCTATCAAAATGTATTGTATAGAAAATAACTGTACAGAGACAAAATTATACGATACATATCGTATCATGAAGGAGGCATATTGTTTCACCCCTACCGCCCTGTTTTCAGACATCCATGTTTGCTTTACTCACAATTTGTATTGTTTGATTAGACTTTTGAGCATGATTACTGTTATAGTTATATTCACATTTCATAGAAACAAGAAAAAAACGGAAGTTGACAGAAATACATGTACATGTTTATCATAGTTCAATTGTGAATTTACCATACTCATTAAATTATTGTCTACATACCCTTCATTTCTATACATTTTTTTGAAGCAGTCTGCAAGTGAGGTATAGCGGTTAGGATCATCCGGCCCTCTCTGTACCTGGAATCTTGTCTTTACAAGATCAAGAGGGTGCATTAAAGACACCTCTACAAAACCTGTTTAAGACGAAAAAAGAAATTATCATGTCAAGTTCACATGAAAATCAATTTTAAGTGTGGGAGACCAGTAAGTATGTATGTTGGGGGATGCTTATTAAAAGATTTTGAATATTATTTTTATATCTGAACAGATGACTTTCACATTCTTAAGAGTTATCTCTCTTTTTCGGTGTACTTGTCATTTTTCTCACTATATCCTTTGTAACTTACCTGTAAATATTTTAAACCTTCAAAAGATTTGGGACAAAAAGCGTACCGTTCTTGTATTGCCATATAGTATGGGGCACACAAAAAACATAATGAACATATACAGATTTAATATGTAAGCTGCTGCCCCATAAAGCTTGTAATATGTTATTGAGGAAAAACATTGAGTTACACCAATTGACCCCATATTGACTCCACAAGGGGAAATAACTTTTGTAAATGAGAGTCGTCTATTTTCCTTTTTTTCTTTTTTTACAAGAGCGGAGATATAAACACCCCCACATTTGATGCATGGCCATGGCCTTAAAAAAAAAAATTCCCAAAATTAAGAAAGTCTTGATGACATGACAGTCAGTCATTTTTATTTATTTATTTATCCATTTTTTTGTTGTTGTAAGTTTGCCCCTCCCCCTCAATCAAGCTGGAAATCCTCTGGTCCACCCCTACTATTGTAAAGATTCTAAAATTTAATAAATATATATTGTCACTTTACTTAAAAATTTTCATTCAAAATGATCTATTCCAAAATGAGTCAACCGAAAAAAAAAATCATTTCGGAATTTCAAACACACTGTCACATGTAATTTACCTGCACAACCACCTGCTGCAAATTGCATGAAGTGGAGTTTCATGAGACTGTGGTTAGAACCAATTGCTGGTTCTACGACTGAAGCCATATTATCTGTATTAAGAAAAAACTGACAACACCCTTTCACCTATTCACTGAACATGCCACCGCATATATTCTTTCATCCTGTCGAAGGCGGTGACCGGTTCAAATATTAGAGTTTGAATCGGTGTAAAACTAGGGTAATTCGACCCGGAAAATAAATTTCCGCAAGTCGTGAAACATCGAGGAAAGTTGGAAAGGGCACGCTTTTTGGCGATAGAGAGTTGCAGATAACAAGAAATTTTAGGCGTTGAGTGAACTAAATTTCGGTTAAGTATTATCTTCTTTTAGGAAAGTGTTAACAAAAATGTAACAATAAGTTATTTGCAGATCATCATAAATAACAAATGAAGAATGTTAAAAATTGGTATGAGGAAATTCGAACAAGATTAATAATATTTTTTGCCTTCTTGACTTTAGGAATAACAATGTCATTTGCCAGTCTTTGCCAGAGATTTTCAAGGATGATGACAACCAGTTTGAAAAGGAATAATTTCTTAATGAGTAAGATTTTAAAAAATACAATTTTACTTTTGTAATTTATAACATGAAAACCTCATTTATAACAGTAGAGAAGAAAGGTAACCTCATTTAACCAAATTAGTTTTCCCATTACACATGTACATATTAATTATGTTTTGTGGTACAACCATTGGGGCAAGTGCAGTTGTATACCATCCTGGCGGAATGTAAACTGTTTTGTTAACAGGGCATGAGCTCTGTTATTGTTAATTTTACGTTTCACCGGAAGCCTGTTCAAAAGAGCGAACAATAAATTCCTTATCCCTTCAACAGAATGTTCGTGAGCGCTCGCTCTGTTGAACAGGCTTCGGGTGTGTCCAATTTGTCAAACTCTGTACACATCACTGAGCACGGACTGACACTACTGATGAGTTGCAGTGGCGGATCCAGGAATCTTGAAAAGGGGGGCCCCAACCAGTTTGGGGTCAGGGTAGGGGCCCACGTCCACACCAAAAAAATTTGATTTAGTAAATCTTATGTATATTTTGGACACAAAAGGGGGGCCCGAGCACCATGCCCCCCCCCCCCCCTAAATCCACCAGTGGGTTGGTTTTGCTTTCTCACATTACTACTCTGAATTTTCTGGATTATAGTTTTAAAACTTTTCATTAATACACAACAAAATTTCTACTTTTCTAAAGTATTAAGGATAAAATTTACTTTATGAACTTGCAAGGATATCGATGTGTCAATCAAACACGTCCCGAAATTCATAGTTTCAATAATTTCCAGATAGAATAAGTTTTTTTTATATTTCCTTGTGAAATGTTATGACAACATATGTCATGATACTATATAGAAAATTTGAGAAAATATTAACTTCAAATCTGTGTCTATGTCCATTTCAATGTATATTTGCTTGTTTTTTTTAATCTTTTTAGATACTTCCCCACTGGTGAGCCAGGGTGTCGAACCCAGACCAGGAGGTTCCCTTATTTTACAGAGGTTTGAGACCCTCAATCAGATGCACAGGCGAGGCCCCCTTCCCTTGAAGATGAAAAAACAAAACAAATATCTATGTGGCAATGCTTACCGCAGAGGTGTAGTATTAAAATTAGTGATTAAAAGACCAAAAAAACCTAACTCTGCCCAGAGAAAGTGTGTTCGATTAAAATTAAGCAATGGAAAGGAGGCTACAGCATATATTCCAGGGGAGGGACATAATTTACAAGAACACAGTATTGTCCTGGTGCGAGGGGGTCGACTTCAGGATGTCCCTGGTGTGAATTTACAATGTGTACGAGGAAAATATGACTTGGCACACGTCAAAAAGAAATGAATGTATACTTTTTATACATAATTAATGGAATTTGCAATTAAAAATTATTTGATGATGAATTGATTGATTGATTGTATATTGCTTTATGCTGAATTGGCAGTATTTCAGCCATACCTCAGCGGTGAAGATTATATTATACAGCTGGTTTTTGAAAGTTTTAGGGTTTCTCTGGCGGCTCCCAGTGATCCTACTCTTTTTGGAAAATCAGAGAAATGATCTTTTGCGTGCCAAGGGGGTGAATAAAATTTAAACAAATTTGTATTTTGAATGATTTCAATTTTTATTGAAATTTAAAATGAAAGATTGTATTCATGGATTGTAACTCATTCGAAAATCAAAATTGCGAATTTTTTTTTACACCTGATTATTTCATCTTGGATGAATCATAGTAAACCTTTAAAAATCTGATAATTGATGCATTTACACTACATTGAAACAACCACTAGAATTGTTATACCTTTATATATTGTTTCCTTAATCTATACTTTAAAAAAGTCTAACATTTCAAATATTTTACTGAGCAGTCCTAAAAAAAATGATGTTGAACCAAACATTGAATGAGATGTTGGACTGGTCTATGAAATGTTGGATCGCTATGACGTATTTTACATCACAATTTATTTCTCAATGTAGGTGGATCAGCTATATCTTATTTACATTCACTGGTGTACAACATTTACAGGATTGACAGAGTTAAATCCACAGTGCAGATAAATGAAATTTAAATCAAATTATGTCATATTCATTATAAACATAGATTGAAGCCAGCACAAGATACAGCAAAAATAAAGAGTGTCACAGGATTAGTATTTACTATATGTTACTATGTATGATAATTTGCGCATGCGTCATCTCATTCATTCATGGTTTGTAAGTTCATGACCTCTGATATCATACGGTGAGTATGGGAGGTGTATGGGTGTGTTTGACTGGTTTTTCCAGTCATTGCGCATGGCTGGCGCGAATTTTATTAATCTTTGCATGTGTAGTAAGGTCAGATTAATAAAATTTATTAAAATATTAAATGTGTTTGTTTGTGTAATTTCAATGTTTACCTGGCCATGTGCTTGCCTTGCCCTGTCTTGCTATTGGTTAAGTCATTTTGGTCAGTCAGGTGGTACATTTATCCCATGCAGTTCATGCTTTTCACTTTCTAGCCAGACCTTGGTCCTGATACTTGTAGCAGCAGGTTAGATTTCTCTTACTAATTTTACTAATTTTGTTGTTTAAATTAATTCTCTATACTTTTGACTATGACATTTAAAGTTAATATAAAGTTTATCTAAAGCTTAGATTTGAATAAGTTAATTATTTTGCTTGATTAAAACACTTATTGGTTTTAAATAATCTGAATGTTAAAAACTACATTTAAGTGTGTATGCAGAACCTTGAACTGTTTTATATTATTTTGATGACTAGGTGCTGGGTTACCATATGACAAGTTGTTGTAAATATATAAATCTGAATCAGTAAGCCTCCAGACACATTGTCTTTGGTAAGAACATGTATTATTTATTTTAGATATTTTTATTACTTTGAATTGATAATGAAAGTATTGGTTACAAAGTATGTTTGACAAATATTTTTGATTTACCAAGCTTAATTACCAAAATCCATTTTTATCTTTATTTTTCATGTTTTATCTGTAAAGCCCTATAAATCTGTTCAGTTAAAATTAAGAGTTATTGCCCTTTATTCAGAGTGCTGTACATACTGTATGATGAAGGAAAGTATAATGTTGAGCATAATGTTATACCATTGTATTTCATGTGATATATATGATTGTTTGTGTTTGTAATTATTTGATTTGTAGATTTACATGTATTTATAATATATTTCAATTTTAGGGCTCAATTCATCAAGATGTACTAAATAAAAGAATAGAACCCATACAGCAGTCTTATATTTATTGGACCTGTAACACATGCAGTAATATTATTTTAAATCACTTGATGAAAACCCTCTGATATAGACAGACGTTACGAGGACTGTCATTGTCCGTAACTTAGCTTTATAATTAGGAGCTTAAATTCTATCTACATGGTAAGATATTATTAAACTATTTTATATTTTCAGTAAATTAATTTATGAATTAAATATTTGATATAAATTTCATTTAAATATTTAATGTGTGAATGGACGGTACGGAAGTTTTCATATTTATTGTAGATCACCATGTCATTGATATTATAATGTAAATACTGCATCAAATACCATCATGTCGATGGAAAATAAATAAATTATATTGAACAGCTGTCCGGAGTTTTCTCTTATCCGAGAACTGTTAATGAAAAAAAGTTAACACCCTTGACAAAGAGTAAAAGGTATAACAACATTTATTGACTGTGTTTTCTGGCACAATGCATTTTGCCAAACCCTCATACCCAATACTTTGCTTTCGGCCTAACGGCTTCAGGCAAACAATTCAATTCTTGAGTCTGACAAATGCATATTACCTTCGCATCCAGTCAATAAATGTATATTGTTATACCTTTAAAAATCGGTTCCTTTATAAATCGTTTACTAAAAAAGTCTAACATTCCCAATGTTTTACTGTGTGATCATAACAAAAATTGATGTTTGATCGCAGAGTGAGATATTGGACCTGTCGATGAGATATTGGACTGCTTACGTCACACAGTGCGAGTAAAGGAAATTTACATCACGGAGTCCAGCACAAGATAACAAAATAATAAGAAATAAAAAAAGGCGTTACAAAACAATTATTGACTGTGTTCTTGGGCAAATATGTTTTGTCGACCCCTCAAACCTATACTATACCAAGATACAACATTATATTTACTGGCTTTTAATTCTGACAAACTGAAGTGCCATAGAAATCTTTCAGGATCCTATACTCCTATACATGTAGTTTTGTTTTGATTCAAATCAAACATGGTACACATATAGATTACACTAAGATATATAATTCTGTACATTGGTTTATGTATAATTTTGCTATGCTACTAAAAATATTATGTTTGAAATTCTTTCAAAACACATACTCCTAGTACAGTTTTGGTCTGATTTCACTGAAACATCATGACTGTACTCACGTTATTACACTAAGATTCCTAATTCTGTGTATCATATTTTACTAATTAGAATTTT